AGCTTAACCGCCCGGCCTCCTTGCCGATTCTGACCAGAAACTGGCGCACAGAGCTGGGATCGAACCCGCGCCTCTCTGCGCCAATCTTGGTACTCTGAACTTTAACTTAACCATTCATATTTTTCATCTCAATGTGTAGCGAACTTTTAAAATATCATAGCAATAACATCATTAGCTAAATTCGTAGCGAAATCTGACGCGGCTTATTTCTTCTGGATAGACGGATTTATCTTTAGTTAAATCTACATAAAAATGGCTAAATTTGCAACTCTGTACTGAAAACAGTCGACTGGAAAGTACTGTTTACCTTTACACGTTAAATTCGATTTTTCATTACAAATTTTTCTTGATGGCATTAACTGCATTATTTTCTTCTTAATAAGCTCTGGTTTTCATTCTATACTTTCCATATTCCATGGAACTTACATCAATAGTCTACTTAAATCACATGATCGCCAAGAAAACATAAACCACGAAAACTCCAAATAAATTCATTATATCTTTATTGAAAAGGCTTCGTAGACCAACTTCATTGTCAGTTCAAAAGTATATAGAATATTAGTGCAATCATCAGCGAGAATTAATTTATTAGTGCCCCAAAATAAGCTCTCTAAAGTCCCAAACATGATGAAGTCCTCAAATTAGGCCCTCTAGGGATTTAAAATAGAGCCCCCTGAAGTCTCTAAAATCGAGGACTACAAAATCAAGTCACGAAATTGAGCCCTATAAACCCCTAAATTAGGACTCTGAACCCCCAAAATCGACGGCGCTAAAGGCCTAACTAAAAAATCTACATACAACCATTTATCAATTGATGTTGAACCAAAAATTTAATTAATAATTTGCTACTGTAGCGGATCATTGCCAGCACGTTTTTGAGAGAAAAACGCGTTAATGTTGTTGTCGACCGATGAACAGGACCGTCAAGGACCTTGAATCGTATTGTCAAAGTCAAAGTCGTATTGTCAAAGTCAATGTTGTTTGAGGACGAACAACTTTACTTCACGTAATTTAGTTTAATATGTTATTTGGATTATTATCTAGGACATAAGCTCATAAGTTCAGCAACCGGTAGTTAGTTGAACTAATGACAAAATGATTATTTTTCACTTTCTTTTTGCACTATTTAGTTGTTATGCGTAATTTTATTATGCTAATATGTGTACCTAAGGGCAATAATGAAGTAATTTTGACTGGGCAACGAACAGATGCTCTCCAAGTTTCTTACGCTTTCTCGCTGAAGATACCTGTTTTCTGTTAATACGGAATGCGCTTAATTGACAATAATGATAGTGCAAGAAAATGCAGAAATAGAGTGTGATAAGATAACAACATCTATATATATATATATTTTGTTTTGCGAGATTTCCACTAGAGGGAGACAGCAGATTTGTCGCTTGAACGGAACACAAATCGAATAAATAGGGAACGAATGTTTGCTCAAGGTTGTGTTACGGAAACGGGGAAGGGTGTGTGGTTGTGTGTGACTTGTGGGTCGTGTTGCGTCCTTAATTTTAAACGCGGTGTGAGCCAGCCTCAGCCAGGGTTAGCACTTTGATTATGTGTGTTCACCAGATTAAAGTTTAACAATTGAGGATTTAACTCAATCACCCTGGCTTTTTTCCGGGAAGTGTAGCTGTAGTAATCCGTGCCGATCAACTGCAATGGGCGCAATATTTGTGAGGTCACAGGCTCACAGCAGTGAGTGTCTGGTGTCAGACGACAGACTGTTCAGAGTGTGAGGAACTGACTATACTGAGGATACCTGATGATACTGCTAGTGCTAGGCTGCTACTGTAGTTGCTAGTTGCTACTTCACTTCAGAAGTACTTGCTACATCATCGACATCATAGATGAAATTCATCCCATCTAATTGTTAACAAAAAAAAAATCATGATTGGGATGTGTCGATGCAAGACTCCAAGGCATAGTGGCAAAGCAGCAGTTTTTTTAGACTCTTCATCCATTTCATTTTTGAGTCCTATAAGTAGACCAGAAAAGTATCTTGGATACCAGCATTTTCATAAAGAAATTGATTAAAATATTGAGTAGATGAACAAATTAAAAATGAACTGATTCTAAAAAATCTCTGGTTTGCCACTATGCTCCAAGGTCCAAGTGAGATGAGAGATTCCTATTTCTTCAAAGTTCAATGCCAATTGCCAACACTTCTATTCTAGGCTATAATCTATTCAATTCTAAGTGTATTGAAAATTTGTGATTTTAGAGTTATGAGATTTTGGTAGGCTAACAATTAGGAAAATTCTAATTCTGGGAAATGGGAATGTGTTGTTTATTTGCCACATTTGAACTGCAATAATTCACTATTAAGAAGGAAATGTCCAAATTCCAATCTTGTAAACGTTCCTGTGAGGCTGTGTTTCATTGGGGCGATTGGGCTGCGCTGCAATGACGACCATGATTCATGAAATTGTCCATTTTTAGCTCAATTTGAAATATTGGGAATTTTTTTTGCAAATCTCTTGTGTGAACCAACATTGTAGGGTAAACGCGGTATATTCCGACACTTTAAGGACGCATCGAGAAATGAAAAACTATAAAAAAAACCGTATGCGTTACGCAAGTTCTGTTGGCTTCACGTGACTCTCAAAACACTTCACTACGCGTCGCGGCGTCAGCAACAATGAAACGTCACAAAATGTTGCCATATTTATTAAAAAGCCTTTCGAATGGAAACCTACCAAATCCCTATATTCTGTCACTGTGTGTGGCAATATTCGACACGTGGTGAGTCGTATTGCGTCAGCGCTTCAAATTTAACTGATACATATTGCCGACATC